GTGATATCTGCAGGGTTGCACTGCAGTAACCTTTAACCTTTCCGTCCATATCCAGGTATGAGCTGGTGCAGCTGTTGCTGTCGTATGGAGCAGAGGTCAACTGTTATTTCCGAGTGATAAGCAACACGATGTTCCCCACAGCCCTGCAGTACTGCCTCGGAGACAACGTCATGCTGCGACTGCTGCTCAACAGCGGATATCAAGCTCATAAGCACGTATACACTACATGCTATTGTGCTAAAAGTACATGATTTATGTAAAGTAGAGGCAAAATATTGCAGTTTTTCTGATGTTGGATTCCATTTTAGTAACTGTGATATGTTAAACTTTATTTTAACACGTCATCTCTGCAACCATGTAGGTGTTTTCAGTGCTGCCATGGCAACAGTGAAGAAATGGACAGTACCTGGGCTGACCTCCACCACCAAGCATACAGGATTTACAGTCAACCCAAGACCATCTCAGTAAGAGACAATACATTCCTGGCACAATACCTCAACCTGAACACTCAATCACAAACTTTTCTCTTTTTCAGTTCTGCGAGTTTGTGTCGGTGTCGTGGCTCGCACATCTGGTGGGAAGCGTTGTGAGGATGCTTCTGGACTACGTCAGCCACGTCAGCATCTGTTCTCACCTCCAAAGAATCTTGGAGAGGAGGCCGGAGTGGGATGAGATCTCTGACATACTCAGTAAAACGCACACGTACAAAACACGCATATTAAAGCAGCATTAAAAACAAGCACGATTTAAATAGCTGTGCGTTTGTTTGTCCGCAGGTAAACCTCGGTCTCTGCAGCACTTGTGTCGCCTGGTGATCAGAAGTCGAATGAGCTTGAGGACGCTGAACGACCGCGAAGCCATGGCTGCTTTTCCTTTTCCTCCTCGACTGACAAACTTCCTGACTTACAGAGAGTACGACGTGTACGGTGAACTGTCGTCTACGTGAAACACATTTTATTCATCCCTGTGACTGAAACACTCGTTATATAACAGCACTAATCTAATTAAGCCAGCCCTCAGTACTTAGTTTACACTGACAGCACATTTCATCTCCCGTTTCTCGAACTGATTTTACGCCATCTGGACAAAAACGGTGACAACTCTGTGTTGCTGCGTGGCCTCTGCCCTCTTTCTGTATGCGTCTATTTATATTGCCAACTGCACTGCAAACTCGCAAAAGTACCATGAACACAAATGCCAATCAAGCACAGTGTGTACAGACTCATATAGCCTTCAGAGGAGGACAAATTCTGCAGATGAAGTGGATAAAAACAACAATCGTGTTCTCGTTTTCTGCTGTCTTTAAGTGTGCAGGTTGTGGATAGTCAATATCAGGTTTGAAAATGACAAAATATTGTTACTTCAATACAGCAGAACTTTTTTTAGAATGTTTTATTATTTTGTAATAAACAGTGCTATTTTAGAAAATGTTCAAATTATGCAACCAGTATGTAACGGGCTTAACGATTGAGGTTTAAATGACCAAAGCAGCAATTTAGTGTGTTTTTGTTCTGTAGGTGTGTTTGTACAACACACTGTCTAAAGACAACCGACTTTACCATAGAAACTCTGTGATGCTTATGCTGTGACGGCTTTTTTTTTTTTTACTTCCTTTAAAACCTGGTTTATTATTACTGAACATGAAATCTGTGATAGCTGGTCAATATGGGAAACTGTGTCCCATGAAGAAAGGTTACTTAAACACAATAAAATGACAATACATTAGAAAATATTCATGAAATAAATGTTGCTTAGTTGCACTATTTGCCTTGCAAGTCTGTCAGATTTATTAAAAGTAGTTTTTAAATTGCTGTAGGCGTGTTTCTCTCTATATTTATGTATTTCTGATGTGCAATATTAATACTTCTCTATCAGTATTTCTGCTTATGACAGAATCTGGCAATACCATTGATATGTGCAATATTGTTATTTCCACAGCCAGAGGAATTTGGACAATCAAAACTACTACTTATGCATATTTTGGTTTATTTTTATTTTTATTCTGATATTTCTCAAAAGTTTGCATGGTCCCCTTTGCTGCTGTAGCCATGCACATTTCCCCACTGTGCGATTAATAAAGGCTTATCGTATTGTAATGGTAAGTGAGCAGACCCAGAGAACAGGTGACCTGAGGCTGCTCTCTAATTGGTTGCTTCAGATTTTCCACTAGGTGCAACTGTCTGGGTATCAGTAGCCTATTTATTCTTATTTTGATTGGCCCCATGATGTTTTTCTCAGTCACACTCGCTATTAACTTCCAACTCTCACTTCACTCAGGCGCTTGCTAGTTGACCCAAATTGCAGGAGATGCCAGTTCAAATAAAAAGTGCATGAATGACCGTGCAATTTTCAGTTTCTTTGCCTCTACAACCCACCTTCTCAAAACAGTGACCCTTCCAAACATGTTATAGAATCAGCTGCTATTCAACATAATCCTTATGATACATCAAATAAAGTATTTGAACAACAGTCCACGACCAAGCTAGCAACTCTATGTGACTGTACTCAAGGCTAAATAACAATGACAACATGCTGATATTAGACCAGAATTACGTACTTATTAAGTCTAGTCCTAAACCAAGTAGATGACATGCTAAGGGATCACCATTACAAGGCGTCCTGAGGGGGGTATTAATGCTCATACCAAACTTCATTGTAATTTGTCAAGCAGTTGTTGAGACATTTTCCTTCAATCCCAAATGATACCTTCACTGTGGCACGAACGTCAAGCCAAACAAGAGTTTTAAAGCATCCCAAACAACCAAAGGCAACAGAGGAAGAAATCTGTTGTGAGCGGCACTCAGAGGCCATTTTTTGGACGATACATTCTCTCTGTTTATCTTTCTTGTTCTGCATATCTGTTGGGTCCAGTTGGTCTTTTTTGGCCATGAACAAAGCCCCTCGAGTCGTGGTGACAGAGTGCCACGCTGACAGGCCACACGGTCTCTGAGCTCACAGGCTTTTTGTAGCTCTGCCTCACTGAGCAGCGCCTCCCAAAAAAAGACGCTGCATCATGGGCCCCACACTTCGCTACGTTCCCCTCTGATCCCTCTCTTAAGGCCTAAACAGCAGCTGGGGAGATTAGAGCGGAGAGGACACAGAGGCTCACACATAAACCCGGCCAGCCAGGACAGATCCGGATCAGACCGGAGAGGACTCTTATCAGACTTTGACTGGACTCAGGATGTCCAAGCATCTTCTTTTGGCGAGAAACATTTCAAGTGGACTCCAATGACACCTCATGTCCTAAGATCTCCAGAAGCCTCGCGGTGGATCGTATCTTTTGTTGGAATCCTCAAACTCTTTCGTTTTCGGTTCTACACTAGATCACACGAAATCTGAGAACTGGTCTATCAGTTTTAGTTTGAGTCTGACTGGTTCGCGTTAATCACACCATGAGTTGTTTCGGGTATCGTCGAGAGCTGAGTAAGTACGAAGATGTCGATGAGGACGAGCTTTTGGCTTCCCTCAGCCCCGAGGAGCTGGCCGAGCTGGAAAAGGAGCTGGTCGACATCGATCCGGACGCCAATGTGCCCATAGGATTGAGACAGAGAGACCAGACTGATAAGACGCCGACGGGCACCTTCAGCAGAGAGGCCCTCATGAAGTACTGGGAAAACGAGACTCGTAGACTGCTGGAGGACGAGATCGGCGGAGGAAGTCCCAAACTGGTCAGTGCTAACATTTAATTAGAGACAGTGCTCATGTGTTTGAAGATTTATCAGATTGGCTCAGAACAGATTACTCAGAAAAGCACAGATAATTTTTCTAATTACTGAAAGGAAAACATACAAATAGCTCATTGTCCTACATTGAAGCCGTCTGTATTCAGAGCTACCTGGTACGAGTCTAACAGAAAACAAACAGTAATCAGTAATCACTTCAGTTTAGCATTTGAAGCCCTGACGAATTTTATTGAAACACAGGATGAAGAACAAGACGAGGAGTGTGTGACAGAAGAAAACAGCGAAGAAGAGGACGAGAAAGATGATGCAAATGAAAAAGAACAGAAAAAGTCTGAAAAACAAAAGGAGGAGGAGGAGGAGGAAGATGAAGATGAAGAAGAAGAAGAGGAGAGTGAGGAGGAAGAGGAACCTGTAACAGAAGAGGAGGAGGAGGAGGAGGAGGAAGAGGAGGAAGAGGAAGATAATAAATTAAAGCCTGAACCCTCAAAGGATTCAGGGCCGCTGACGTCGCGGTCCGACACCCCAACACTGCTGAGGCCTCAGAGGGTGGAGCCTGTCAGACTGACTCCTCCTCCTCCGCCTGTCGACCAAAACACGACTGGAAACCCGATTGTTGTCGACGACGCTCTGCAGCGAGTCCTTAGCAACGACCCTGAACTCACAGAGGTTAACCTCAATAATATTGATGACATCTCACAGGTACGAACACAAACCTTTCATGACGTACAACATTTAATTATTTTATTCATATTGTAATTATTTAGGAAAGTCTTGACCAATGTGACTGTTATCGTATGTAACCAGGAAGTGGAGAGATGTTTTGAAACTTTAGTGGTTCATAAACAACTTTATGAATCATCATATTAAGTTCTACTTTGTAGAATGTAGATATAATTAAACTGAGCTAAGCTGATACTAGCTAATAGCTAACACTAGGCTCATACTATGGTTCAATATGTATTCAGACATTTGACATGTCTTAATGTGGAGACTAACATGATACAAGAGCCAGTTATTATTGGTTAAACCTCCATAATGTCAAGTTAAGTCATTGTCTTTGGTGTAGCACAGTGAAAACAAAAGATGCTAATTCAAAGTTTTCAATACAGTAAAAAAAAGACTGGTTTGTCAAATTTACCTGAAAAGTTTAAGTATTAAAGTTTAAACCTAAGATCCTACAATATTATTTATTATACAAATTTACTTGACGGTAATGAATACTAACATTAAAACCGCACAATATTGTATGTTCCACAAATTTATTGGACTTATATTTAACATTGTGGTTAGGACCCTTTTAGAAAACATAAGTTTACCTGATGAAATCAAACATTAAGGCAAATGTTGTACAATAATTATTAGATGAATCTGCCTGACTAACTGAAACATAGAGGTTAGAACCTCACAGTATTATATGTTCCACAAATGGACCTGACTAATTCAAATATTAAAGTTAGGACCCAACAATATTATATATAATGCAAATGTATGTGATTAAATTAAAGCTCAAGGTTGAGACCCTTCAATATTATTTGTTATATACATTTACTAGACAACATGACAACCCGAAAATATTAGATTTAACACAAATTTGTCTGACTAATTTAAATATTAAAGTAAAAACAAAAAAATATCTTCCCATGTATAAATACAAAAAACAGATTTGCAACAAATCTTCCATAAAAGCCAACCACTTTTACAAACCGCCAAATTTGATATAGCATTTCTAGTAATACTATCAAGTATAGTAGATTTGCTGTCAGTTTAAATACGGTGGTACTGTTTAGTCAGAGCTAGTGTCCTCCTTTAATTGTTGAGTAACATTTGATCGTATGCCAGTTTATTTTTAGAGCCAGACATCTCGCCGTGGTTTTGTAATCGAGGACAGAGTTCAATAATTGGTCCAAACACTTCCTATGGCTGGAAAATAAACAAAAACAAGACATCCTCAATCAACAGTTTCAACAAGGTTTCTGTAGACATCTTTATGTTTAAAACAGTCTGTGGTCAATCAATGACAAGTAATGGCTAATTTTAGTATTAGAACAGCAGCTTGGACACAAACCCGTCTGTCAGCATGGTAAATACCGACCTCACTGAAGTGTTACATGTCCACAGGGATGTTCTGACCTGTGGCACTGCTGGTTGTTAGGGTGCCAAGTGATAAACATCCTGTCGAATGTAATGTGGTATTTCTTCCTCTGGGATACAGCCAAAATGATTTTCTACACAAATTTACAGCACAAAGTTGTCATTTGTTCTACTTATTTTCTCAGGAAACTCTCATCCGATTTGCTGAAGCATTGAGGCCCAACACACACGTGAGAGTCTTTAGCCTCGCCAACACCCGAGCCGACGACCCCGTGGCTCTAGCCATCGCTAAGATGCTGAGGGAGAACTCGTCCATCACCAGCCTGAATATAGAGTCCAACTACGTGACTGGGAAGGGCGTGATGGCGCTGGTTCAAGCTCTCCCAGGAAACAATACTCTGACTGAGCTTCGGTTCCACAACCAGAGACACATGTGCGGAGGACAGGTTGGTTTCCTTCTTCCCTCTCACTTTCTTGAATCAATCAAACCCATCTGTCGTGTTCGAACAACAACATGATAGTAATTATCTGTCTATATTCTCAGCCACCCAGGTCATTAGGATGCTAGTAGTTTCAGTAGAAGGCAACCGGACTTCTGTTTTTGGTTCTTGAAGGTATATCATCTTCCATCCAAGAGGTTTCTTCAGTTCTGAACAAGAAGAATTGGAGAAGCCTCTTCGATGAGAGGTGAAATGTCTTCAAAAACCAAAAACAGAAGTCCATTTGCCTTCTAATGAAGCTCCAAGGACATGATGGTAACTGTGCAACCAACTCCTACAGGTAGAAATGGAGATGGTGAAGATTCTGAGGGAAAACCACACTCTGATCAAACTGGGCTACCAGTTCAACCTTCCTGGTCCCAGAATGAGCATGACCGGGATCCTCACCAGGAACCAAGACCGCCAGAGACAGAAACGTCTGCAGGAGCAGCGGCAGCAGCAACAGCAGGGCCAAAAGGGGGCGCAAGATGGAGCAGTTTACCCAAGAACTACCGCACTGGTGAGCAGCTTTACTTTGTGTCCTACAAGCTGGACATTACGTTCTACTATCCTGTTGTTTTCCATGACTGTTTTCAAAGTCTTCATCTCTGTTAGAAACAACGATGAACTATACACCTTTAACTCCAAAAATGTCATATTTATCCACTTATTTGTAACGAGTTTTCCTTTTCTATCCGTAGCGAGGAACACCTGTTTCCTCACCGTACAGCTCACCTTGGTCCTCGCCCAAACTGCCCCGAAGCGACCTGGCTAAAAAACAGACTCCCCCTGCTCCACCTCCTCCTCCACCTCCACCGCCGCCGCCTCCACCTCCCCCACCACCGCCGCCTCCTCCCCCGCAGCGGGAGACCAAGAAGCCCACGAGGATGATCGCGGAGGTCATCAAGGCGCACGAAGCGGGCAGCAAAAAGGTGGTGAAAACGAAAGGGAAGAAGGGCAAGAAGGCCAAGGCGAAGGAGAAAGAGGAGACGAGCAGCATCCTGAAGGAGCTGAAGAACGCCCTGAGGCCGGTGTCGGTGGACAGGAGGGGGGAGGAGGGCAGCAGGCCGTCCACGCCGATGAGGTCAGCCCACGATCAGCTGATGGAGTCCATCCGCGGTAGCAGCATCCGCAGCCTGAGACGGGTGAGTGACGTCTAAATTAGCGTAGAATTTGCTCCTAATTCTGTTTTTCCACGAAGAAACTGCATCAGATGCTAGATTATTTAGAAATGCACCGAGTCGCAAGTGGCACGACCCTCCCTTCTCCAACGGAGGTGAAACACTGCTTCATTGTGTGAAAGGTTGGCAAAAATACTGTGCAGAAACGCAAGCAGACAAGCAAAGTGCTTCATACGAAATTGCTGCAGAGCCTCTCCAAAAGGCAAAGTAGAGAGTTTAATTTAGATGAGGATGACACAGAGTCAGCGGAGTCTGAGTCATCTCTGTGGCTGACATGGTTCGTTCTGTCTCTGCAGTGGGTGAAGGCAGGCAAGAGGCCACCAGCGAGCACCAATCTCAATGCTTTTACAGCCAGAAAAAGGCCAAAATACAGCCACGCCGGTCAAGTATTTTCACCCCAGAGAGGACGATAAGAGGGTCAGAAAACAAAGATAATTGGAAAAAGCATATTGTAATGAAGGGAGTGTGTTAATATTTTGAGTGCGTACTTTATTTTTCTTTCTAAAGACAGATAAGTACCGTCCTCGCAGCATTTAGAACAGCTTGTTACATAGTTAGAGTGGAAAATCGTCTCTGCCCTCAGATAGCGGGGGTCTCCTCCCGTCGCTGTGAAATTCCTGCCACTTAGTGCGGATATTTATAGAGGCTGTTCATAGGAGCTGGTTGATAAAGACAGATGTAACATGTTGCCACGGCACAAACCAACAAAACAAAAAGGACATTATGCACACAAGTGACATAAGGACAGAGCTGAGTTTACGTTTCAAAACTTCCCCACATTTCGAGTTTTGAAAAATATGCGGATGTGGTGACACGGTGCCTATTTTGGCAAATGAGCAACCAGAAGAAATGAACTGCAATAAATCTTTTTCATTCACTACTAAAACTAAACGTTGTTGTGACCGTGTCAGAAACCAACTCTTTGATGCACCAGTGACTCATTTTCATCTCATTCCTAACTTTGCTGTCAGGATTATATTTTTAAAAACAGAAAAAGAAGGCATTTTTATTTTATTTCTGAGTAATAATTCAGGGTTGCCTCCTCAGAAAACCCACATTTAAAAAAAATATATATATTTTTTTTTGACCTGCATTAAAAACTAACATATCTCGTCATTTTCCAGGTGGAAGTCCCGCATCATCTCCGATAATACCAGGAGAAATGAAAGAGATCATCTCGTTATCAAGCTAAAAGGTGGAATTAACGATGGAGTGACCAACAGTGACGAAACCACTCAAGCGCCAAAGGTGACAACGTGGGTTTTCTGAGGAGGCAACCCTGAATTCTTACGCATAAATAAAATGTTTAAAATATATACTGGAAATTTGCACTGCAGTAACGACAGCTTTACATTTTAATAACGTGTCAGATTTTTTGTACTCACGATAGAAAAACGGTATGTTGATTTTGAAACGAGTTTGTTTACGTTTTCTAAATCGCTGTTTTCTTGTAAAATTGTAAATACGACCTTGTTGTTGTTGGTTGAGCTACTGTATGTTTTAATGTCTAAATATAGCCATTTGCTGTTTACAATACTGCTCCTCTGAGTATGCAGACTGTTGATTCTTTGGTGACTGGATGAGCTCCACTTGAAAGAGACGGGTCAAGCTGTCGTGGAGTTGTTTTTATCAGTGAGTCAGCGCACTGGTCAAGCGCCACTGATGCATATTCCCACTCCGACACATTCGCAGGACGCCCACTCCGGTTGTCAGAGCAGGGCTTTTTGCGCACTTTGAACAATTCACAATGCGTGATGAGTGAAAGGAAGGAATACAGTCACTGTGACATCAGTGTTTCAGAAAAATTTTCACAGCATCAAACACAAATCTGTGGGCTCCTCTTAAAAGCTGCTCGACATAATGCACTTTAAAGAAGAAGAAACAACACATTCAGACAGTAAAAGTCTGTTCAGGCCAGTGGAGACGGGTTTTTTTTTTTTTTTTGCTGGTGTAGCCTTATTTGATCTGATGCCCAACAGCATGTTCTGGCTAATGTGGATGGAGCTGTCATCTGAATTTGCTTCAAATGTGTAAATGTAACAGAGCTGTTTTGTATAATGCTTAAAATTAGCAAATGAAACAGCTGCTACAAAGCGTGTTTACGGAACAATGCTATACAGTGTCAGCAGCAGTAGTAGAGATAAGTTAGAAAAGTGTGTTAGAACGCAACATTTAGACAAAGATTGGCAGAATAAGCTAACATAAACGAGCTCATCTTAAAATCCTACGATAAGAACGCTTGAAGCCGCAGACTTTCAGCTTATTGCACACTTCATATTTCTTTTACTGCAATATTGGCTTTTTTTTTTTGCCAATATCCAATATGTCGATATGGTCCAACTCTCAATCAACCGATACCGATATATGTTTGTTACTGCAGCCGCACTTGCTTACATGCTTCACGACGCAGTTTGATGTCGTCATCATTTGCAGTAAATGCCAGTAAATGCTGGCAAAATCCAGGCTTTAGATCAGATTAGACAGAACTTTATGTATCTCCTTTATTTTACTGCTTTTCATCATAAGCAAAAAAAAACAGATAACGATATTGACAGATACTACATTTTTATGCCAATATCGGGCCCATCCCTATTTGTATTACATCGCTTTAAGACTTCAGTGCCTTTTACTACTTCTGTGAACAGTTTTGGTGCTGAAAATGTTTTATGTTCAGTGTTAGAATGTGTTTGTTTTTCCTGCAAACTGTAAAAATAGAATCAATGCATGCAACGCGTAAGACACATGGTTTCATTAGGAACATTAACCACTTAAATCATGACATGAGACGACTGCGATGCTGGGACAAAAATGAAGAGTTTTCGGGTTGAACTGCGGGCAGTGTTTCCACAGAGGAAAGTCCAAACTACTGGATCAATAAAATAAATGCAGCATGGCTCAGACACAGTGAACAGAGGAGCCAGTTGTTGGACGATACATTCAGCACGGGGAAACATTTTCTTGGATCCATTCGATGACTTCTGCTTTTCAATAACCTTTTCATGAAACTGCTTCTTGTGCACGATTGTGCACGTCATACTGACCGGTGACTTCCAGATCCAGGCGTCTTACACTAGAACTACTTGCGACACACTCAGATGATCTCCACTTCAGTAATCTTGCACCAGCGTTGAATTAGGTGGATCACTTTAAAGGGGAGGAACCCTTACGCAATCACTCATTTTAAATTTTTAGAACTGACATTGCTTTGTAGAAATCTTGCCTTGAAATCTATTTTCATTTTCCACTTGAAAGAGTCTGTTTTTGTAAGTTCTAACCCAAAATGAACCAAATTAAATTGACCATAATTTAATGTTGAAAAGCTATTAAAGGAGAAAACTTCCAAGGGGGGGGAGTGAATACTATTTATAGGCACTGTACAGGATTGAATGTGTGAAAGCAGGACTTTGTCTTGCTTCTAAATTTAGATCTTATTGATCACTTGACATTTTTTTAACTTGTGTGTGGTGAGTTTGACGTCATGGTTGTAAAGTCAGTAGTTTTGTCCTGAAGAGCAGCAGCTTGGAAATGGATCTGATGTGACCGTTGATTAACACGTAGTTTCGCAACATAAAAAAATGTATTATATTGGGAACTCTGCTGCATTAAAATGCACTAGAGAGCCATATAACCACCTGAGATGCCACACAGATAGGAGGCAGGCACTGATTGAGGGAGATGATGAATTAGCCGGACAGAGCGGTGACACATGGAGAGAGGAATAGAACACGAGAGGGGAGATGACAGATAAGAGAGTGAAAGCAAGAGGCTGAGAGATGGGAGCTATTAGTATCAGCCATCCTAATCCTGGTCTTGCATTTGTTTATGTGTCTTGGAAGAGTTCCCCAACTTTTAAATCCACATCGCAGCTGTTCAAAGACAACAGTGGGGGGACCCGGGGGTGGCAACGAGGAGAAAGCTACAAACTTAATTAAGCATTTCCAAATGCATAGTTGACATTTTTAGAATGGCTTCCAGAATGAAAGGCATGTTGTTAATTTAAGCGTATTAAAAAAAAAATCAATTAGTGTGTTTCTTTGAAAGCTTTGAAGTGCTTGAGGGAAGTTTGAGCATCTAAAATCTAAAATGTGCCAGCTGAACTCAACCCTCTTTTAATACAGGAAGTTACATAATCTTTTTATCTTTCTTTTACACGACATCCATGTTTGTCTTGTCGTTGGAATCTCCCTGAAATGTTCCCATCAGCCTTTGAAAAGAATAAATGGAAGATTTTTCTAAATAACTCACGCCACAACTCGGCCAACAACAAAAGGTTTGAACTCTAAACTGTACATTTTCTCACCGTAGCGGCTCCTCGGATGATTTTGGTACACTTTGGAGGACGGTTAACACGCTGACAAGGTCTTTTAATCTGCACCAAGGACTCTTAAGCTGGACTTGTGAAACGATGAGTAGGGCTCCAATGCAGAATACACTCCCAAGTGCAGTCGCTCAGTATGCAAAATACATTCCTTTTGCTAAGTACAAAACTTCCTCTACTCAAGCACGTCACATCTGTCAAACCGTTAATAGGGGGATCTTTCCATGAAATTCATCCACTGAAAGCTGAGACTTCCTGCTTACATATGCACTCAGGGTGGTCGCCGCTTTACCCTCATATAGAAGTCATGACATTGTTTTCAGGGTGGAGGTTTTATGCTTATTAGAAATAGGCAAGTTTTCCATTTGCATTCAGCTGCACAATATCCCAAAGACTGCAAATCACTCCTAAAATGTAGATCTAGCATACATTCAACTTGTTATATTCAACATAACGATTTGCTAGGGTCAAGTTATTAAAGTTATATGTAAGAAACAAACATTTCGTGGTCTTCTCGATTCACTGAGAAGACAATTGTACTGTACAGCTTACGTAATGTAGAAACTACTTCTATAAGGGCCGCTGGATTTCGATGTGTGCATTGGTCTCTATGGAAGCACTCGGTGGAAGAGTGGAAAGTACCATACCTGCTCTAAGCCCTCTCATAAGCTGTGCAGCAGAGAGAACTGATACAGGGTCAGATGATGTGGACATCTGCTAAAAATAAACGGTCAGGGGAGAGAATTGTTGTAGTCATTACAGCGTCTATTCTTGCTGCGACTTCTAAAAATACTACCGACAGGCCAATTTTGACTTCCTTCTGTCTCGCCCACACAGATTTAAAGACTTTCGTTTTGTGTAATTCTACCAACAGATACACAAGGAGGAGAGGAACAGCTGGAATTCACCGTCACACATGATTTAGGGTTTTTTTTTGTCCCTCACTCACCCAGTTTTCACTTCAGCTGATGAAACGGTACCAGTAAGGGCTGTAACAATCCTCTGCTCAGCTGTTATTGGATCTGCAGGTGATGAGGCTCGCGTTCATCACTCCTTAAACACAAATGCAAATACTCATATGACACACTGCGCTGGGAAGATTGTGATCTTTTACACACAATGCAACAAAGGCAAAGAAAGTATCAGGATCAGCTTTTCCTTTCTGGTAATAATTCGAGAATATCAATGTAAATAATAGACTTCAAAGCCTTAAATGCAAAACTAAACCAGTAGTTTTACAGCAAATAAAGTTTTATTTCTGAAATTATGCATTCTAAAAACAATCAAAAAAAACATCCACTCCTACAGGACTTGAAGGTAAAAGACATCCAAATACCCAAGTATGTAAATATCAACCTTTTATTGGAGTGTACAATGTAGAGTTCATTATTTGTCCAGGCTCTTTGATAAGACTTGGCGTCCGTAACATCTTATTAACCGAGTTACCTACAGAAGCTAAGATCAACAAAAACATGGCTAGGTTTGTTTTTTCCCCCCAAGAAGTATCGTAATATTTGACAGAAGAGGTCAGTTCCTACATCAAACAAGTGGCAATTTGTCTCTCAAAGACACAATTTGAGGACGACACTGACATTTCAACTATTTGACACACTGAGAGTTTCTTTATTGCGTCTTCTATAGTACGTTAACAGTGCTAGCATGCTGCTAGTTAGCGGACTGAAATGCTAAATGCTAATTTTTTTTTAAAGGTTTAGCTGCTGCACAGCTCATTAGCTTGTCAGTAAAGTTAGTGTTACTACAAAATGTCTCTGACTCTCAGGTCTAAAACAGACAAATTATTAGTTTTATGCCAGCTTTACAGAGAGGTTTTAAAAGTTACTTATTTTAGCTAAGAGCGAGCTAACTGTGGAGCGAAAACGGCCGCCAGAGAGAAACCCTGGAAATCCAAGCTTTGCCTTTAAGGAGAGAAGAGTTAGCGACAGTGAACATTTTGCCCTTCACTGCAAAGATTTAATGAGACTTTGCATTTAGAAAAACTAAATAAATTTTCCTCTTACCTATGTTAAGCCATAAACCTGCCTTACTTGACCAGTTAGCATGTGGTTAGCATTAGATTCCAAGAGTCAGGGGCAGCGCGGTTTGATTTTTTGCTGATATGATTCCCTTAACCGCAACCAGTCATGTCTTATGATGCTTAATCTGACCCAAACGTTAGCATAACTAGCTATCTGTGCCTACTCCAGAGGTCTAGAACCTAATT